ATATTCACAGGAGTCGTTATTGTTAACATTTCTGTAAATATTCACAGGAGTCGTTTACATTTCTGTCAAAAGTCACAGGAGTCACTATTATTTTGGTGTAGACTCACTTCTCCTCTGTGACGGTGTGCCTCTCGGTCTTCAGGGCCTGCTCCAGGCCCTGGACCTGCAGCATCAGCTTGTCCATGGCCACGTTATGCTGCGTCTTCTGCTGCTCCAGCTCCCTCTCTGCAGCCTGCAGCGCCTTCATCTTGCCGACCAGCCTGCAAGTCAAACACAAACGCAGCTTAGGAGGGCAGCGGGGACTCCACACGCACAGTTACGCTGACGCCGCCCACGGCTTACTTCTCCTCCAGTATTTTGCGCTCGTACTCGCTTTTCTCCAGGCAGCTCTGCCTCTCGTTCAGCTCTCCTAACAGGGAGGTGGCCTGAGCTTTGAGGGCCTCACAGTCTTTGGCAAGCTGCAAAAACACACGCAGAGCAGCCATTCAAAAGCTTTGTGGCGACAGCAGACGGTGCATTTGACGGCTTGTCGCAGCAGGTTGCCACACCTGAGCGCAGTCCTTGTCCTTCTGTTTGAGCAGAGCTTCTGTCCTGTCGCGCTGAGCTGAGCTCTTCTGCAGGTAATCCAGCTTCTCCTCCAACTCCCGATACCTACAGACAAAACTCACCTGTCAACCGAAGCAACGACACTAGAAATCCTCTTTAAAGGAATTTAAATACCTTCTTGCACGTTACAATACAGTGTTTCTGGTTCTCTCTCAACTTTTTGTTTTGCGTTCATAAACCCAGAATCTAATGTGACGTTCTGCACAAACGAGGTTTTATTAAAAAGGTTAGCCTGTGCCTAAATCAACGAGAGGCTGATGCATCTCTCAGGTCTTCTTTCAGGTTTTTGGATATTTTTCTGTTTCTTACTCCATTTTAGACCTTTTTCTGTCCATTTCTCTTAACGATTTTAGGCACAAAGTCCACATCGTTGCAAGATGTGTGAAGTTCTATCCTTTAGGTTGTAAACAAGTAAAATTTGTGATTGTATATTATATCTAATTCAAAGAAAATTACTCAGAATAAATATAAACCTGGGTATATTTCTGCATTATTTGCCGTAAGTCTGGCTTCTGTAATATTAACCAACAAAAAAAAACCCAAGGGTAAAAAAATTAATCAAGATCAATGTGATTTTGGCGAAAGACAAAACCCCAGCCCTCTTTGGAGTCGTCTATCTCAGACGAAGTTAACGGCAGAAACAAGTTTTTAAAGATAAGTCATGTCAGAAAGTTCGTCTTGACATGACTTAATGGGCATTTTGATATCTCTTATGGTTTTTACACAATCACAGTTCAAGTTGTGATTTTTACAGGTTTATCCACTGAACGTCTCACTGCTCACGGTTCAAGAGCTTTTAAGATCTGACTCCTAGTTTTTGCACGGCAACTGTTTTTCAGTCGGTGTCTTCCTGCCTCCTGTTTACTCGATGTCAGGGAGTGACAGACATGTGTGTGGTTTCCGTGGCAACCCTGATGAGCCACTGGCAACAGCTTTAAGGTTTCTGATGATCTTGGTTCTCTTTACACTTCCTTTACAGCTTATACAACAAAAATGTTGACATCTTTTTTTTTAGGTGACATTAAAGTTATGTTGGAGCGTCGACGCTTCTTTTCTAGTTGCAAATAGAAACTTTCCAAAACTAATCGAACCATGTTAATATGTTGAAATCATGACCTGCCCATTTCTACCAAAGCTACACTGAAATAAAAGCTAACGAGTTTGTTTTAATGCTAAAAGTCCTGCTTTAAGGAGGTTTCAGTGTCAAATAAAGAACCTAAATAAATAAATCTCTGTGAGTAAAAACACCCAGGAGAGGAAACGAGTGCAGAGTTTAGAGAGTGGCGTGCAGAGGAACAGAAAACCTCACAGAGCTCACCTGCCCTGTGTGGCCTGAAGCTGCTCTGTGAGTTTAGCCAGGCCAAAACTGGAAAAGGGAACAAAAAGAGGGCGAGGAGGAAGAGGACGGAGAGGAAAAAAGGGACATTTCAAAGGTTTTTGTTAAGCAGAAGAAATAAAAGAGAAATACGCACACAGGTGTTATTTAAGAGAATTTAGTCAAAGTTTAGCAAAAAGTCAGTTCAGCGCTGTTAGTTTCACGACTGGTCTGGAGTAGGCCTGTCACGATAACAAATCCTGCTGGGCGATTAACTGTCTCAGAAATTATTGCGATAAACGATAATATTGTTTGAAATTTGACAATAATTAGTAATAATTGTCAAATCAAAGAAGATGTTTGTTAATTCGTTTTGCATGTTGTACCTTTTTTGACCACCGGATGGCAGTGTAAGACTGTTTGAACTGAAGGATGGATAGTGAGGGAGCGAGCAGCGTGTCCCTTTAAGAAAAATTGGGCTGTCTCTCTTCGGTTCTCAAAATGGCGGACGCCCGGTGTGGTTTGAGCTCTTTAGCATTTTTCACACAGTGCTTTTAATAAAAAATCAGTAAACAAGTTCTCAGCTTCTTTTTGCAGAGAAAAACAACTTTTTAGACGAAGGCACGGGTTTCAGCTGTGAACTTTGGAGCTTCGACAAGACGGAGCCCCCCACCCCCGAGGTCGGCCTGTTAGCTTAGCTTCTCAGCTTAGCTGCTTTTAACGATCCAAAAAACACAATTTTGGATTATTAAAACAGATTTAAAGAGAAGAGAAAGGGAGGGGTCAGTGAAGAACACCGGAGTTGAACTTTTTGTCGTCCAGTGTCTTCAGTAGAAAGAGAGAAACACAAAGAAACAATAAAGCCGATAAATGAAAATTAGGTCAATAATTTTCATTTATCATGTGATTAATTGATTTATTGTTAATCGGGGCAGGCCTAGTCTGGAGTTAGTTTTAGTTTGGAAATGTGTCGTACCAGTCGGAGGAATGCTGCACCTCAGAGCGAAGCTGAACCGTTTCTTCAGAACCGCCACTCGCCTGGAAGACATTTACACACGTCCTTCAGGTCTCAAACAAGAACAGGTGGATTGTTGTGTCTGTGTGTGACTCAAATCTCTGGAAACAGGCATTCATTTAACAAAAGCTTAATTTTACGACATCTCCTCGAGGTTTATCGAGTAATGGCTCCCTTCACTCAGGTTCATCTTTCTGTACAGGACCGTGCAGGATGTTGGCGACGTCTGAGCGCACTCAGACAGACACGTGTACCTGCACCTGCAGCAGCTTGGCTCGAAGTTGGTCGATGCAACGGCGCATGTGATCTTTCTCTTCCTCTCCCTCCTCCATCTTCCTCTCAAGCTCTTCATTTTTCCTCTCCAGTTCTTCATTTTTCCTCCTGAGTTCCCTTGTTCCTTCCTTCATTTCCTCTTTGTGGCTCTTCAGCAGCTGCAGGAACTCGTTTGCGCCCTCCACCGGCTGCAGAGAAGAAAGGAGGACAGCAGAAGGTGAGAATGGGCGAACGAGAAAAGACGAAACAGGTTGTGGATCATCGCGATCTGGAGAAATTAACCAAACGTAACTCTTTGCGTAAAGGTCAACACAAACCAATTCTTGCATCCAATCCTTCATCGAGGTCCAAAAAAACCAACAAGTGACTTCGAGATTAACAACGTGAAACTAGACAGAGTCCCCAAAACCTCAGCCGGGGTTAGGTTTAATCTGGAAACAACTCCTTTGACTGGATTTTAGTACGCTGAAGTCCCAATCCCATTTCACATCCATTTAGCTCCAATTAACCTTAAACAGAAGAGAACCAGCAACCTTTCATTGGCCAGTTTGACCATCAGAAGTTTTAAAACCATCTGTCAATCTCCAGGTCCAGTTTGTAAAATTCAAGAGGGATGTGTGTGTGCATTTTAAACCAGTGACTTGGGATGGAGAGACGTGATGTTATTGTGTAAAATGTACAAAACTACATTAACCAGCATGCATCGGGATATATTAACTAGCCTACAAATAGGGAGGCTAGATATTTTGCTTTACTCTGCGTTACTTAGAGCCACCACTGGGGTGTCCAGATTCTTCCTGGGATGTATGGGAGAGAGGGAAATGCTACAAACATAAATCAGGGCACCAGAGTTGCTGGCAAGAGTCAAGATCAAATGTAGACAGTGAAACAATCACGGCAGATCTGACTGCACAACTTCACAACCAATCCACACGTGCCAACATGTGTAGCATCCTGCGTGCGACCTCACGTCTTCTACTGCGGGTCGCTTCAGAACCGTGAATTAAACAAACTGTCAGGGAATTTTTGGTCAAAGCTTATGGATGTTTTTAACTACTATGGCTGAACACGTCAACTGCCCATGAACCATATGTTTGAGTTAGCAGCGAGAGCTGGATGAGGAGCTGATTTGAGGCTGCAGCGTGCAGCTGTCGCTTCATGGTCGCCTCCGAGTCTGTGAGCTCAGCAGAACTGATGAGGTATAAAAACAAGCTTCACACACGGCCCGCGGCAGATTCTTGTGACTGGACTTCATGCACATACTTCCTGTATATCTGCGTGTACTTCCTGTATAACTGAGTGTACTTCCTGTATATCTGTGTGTACTTCCTGTATAACTGAGTGTA